CAGTGCATGACTTGCAGTTCACAACAGAGAGATAGTAGCAAGTTATTTTTTGCACATAGCCTCGAGCCTTGCCTTCACCGACACACAGAAACACACACACACACGGCGTGTCGACCGCGGGCACGCCTTGGCTAGGTATTTTGACCAATGGTGACACATCCCGTCTGTCTCACGCGACGACTCGATCAGGCGCGACAGTCCCCCAAGCGCCGCGTCGCGTGTAACATTTTATGTTTGTGGTAAGGTAAGGTAAGTTCTCAGAGTATATTTTCTTAGATCGAAGTTGTTCTAAATTTCATAAATTAGCATGAGATACAACATTTTATGTTTGTGGTAAGGTAAGTTCTCAACGGATATTTTCTTCCTTTTAAGTCGTTCTTCTAAGTTGATAAATTAGTTTTTCAATTGACATATTATATCTCTGTTGCAGCTTCTACCTGGGAGAAATCTTACTTGCCATTGAACATCTGCACACGCTGGGTGTCATTTACAGAGATCTGAAACCCGAGAACGTACTGTTAGATTGCAAAGGTGAGTGGGTCTTGACTTCTGTCCTGTCCCCAGGATTTACTGGGTGGCTGGTGGGCGGTTTGCTTTGGTGTGGTCTCTCCCTCGTTCTTCTTTTAAAATGTTTTGCCGTTGTCTTTTCTGCTTTTCCGGCGGAGACGCAGCTTTTGTTATGGAAACTGTGTGAGCTAAGCTAAAAGTCCTACTAAACTGAGAATGTTTAATGTGTGCCGTGCGCTCATATGACCGTATGCAGTTATGAGCGCCATAAAACACTTACCAGAAAAAAGTCTCCTTTTGTTGTGTTCATTACTCCATTGTGACACTTGTACGTCCCCAATTTTGCTACAAGTACTGTAAAACTCTTACTCAAATTAAAAACGAAAAATCGTTTTGCTGAAATGTCGCTGGTCGTTTTTAACTGTTCTCAGTACAGAGAGATGACCATTTCCGACTTATGTTGGGTCAGTGGGTGGTTGGCGAGTGCACTGGTGTGGTTTGCTCCTTCTTTCCTATCATATATCTATCGTCCTTATCTCTCCTCCCTCTTTTTTGTGTATATTACTCTCTTGTAACACATCTATTCTTTGACACTTATATGTCCATACTGTGTTGCAAGTGCCGTAAAACACCACGCGAACAAAAACTAAATTATGTTGGGTCATGAATTTATCACAAAGTGGTGGGATAGTTTTAGGTCCGTTTTTATGCTCTTTCAACCAACCAACGTTTCGCTCTCTCTGTGTGATGGGTGGTTGGTGGGGGCTCTGGTGCGGTTTGTTTTTGCTTTCCTATGAAACATCTATCGTCCTTTTCTCTCCTTCTTCTTTTTTATGTTTGTTAATTCTCTTGTAACCCCGCTCCTATGACCTTATGCAGTTGCGAGTGCCATAAAACCTCTACTAAAACTAAACTAAAAAAAAGGTCTGTATTTTTCCTCTCTTAACCCACGTTTCGCTCTCTCTGTTTTTTCCTAGGTCATATCAAGCTCACAGATTTTGGCCTGTGTAAAGAAAGTATCTCACTGGGTGAAGTCACTCACACATTCTGTGGAACCATTGAGTATATGTGAGTATTCTTTTAGTGCTTGTGGGGTTGGTGGTTGGTTGGCGCATGCTCTGGTGTGGTTTGCTTCTTCTTTACTATCAAACATCTCATCTGTCGTCCTTATTTCTCTTCTTACTTTTTTGTGTTTGTTACTCTCTTGTAAGACCTGTAATCTTCGTGGGTGGTTGGCGGGTGCTCTGGTGTGGTTTGTTTCTTTTTCCTATCGAACATCTATCGTCTTTATCTCTCCTCCTCCATTTTTTAGAGTATGTTACTCTCTTGTAACACGTGATCTGTTCTTTCGCACTTATACGACCTTATTGTGTTGCAAGGGCAGTAAAACTCTTGCTAAAACTAAATACTGAAAAGGCAAAGAAATGTCTCTTGCACAAGGTGACATTATTTAGAGTGATGGTCTTGTGGCAGTTAGATGTGTGGGGTAGCTTGGGAAGAAAACATCCTCTCAAATCGGTTAGTCTTCTACAGAAGAAATATCTCTTGCACAAGATGACATTATTTAGAGGGATGGTAAAGCTTTGCAACTTTAACCCAAAGATCAGACCGTAAGAAAAGCTATGAATATACTAAACTAGTTGCTGTTTTTGTCTCTTCTGTAAAATTGACCTGTTGGCATTTGTACGGTTAGGCTACGACAGTGTAGGTGG